TCAGGCCAGGTTGCAGCAAGCCCTCTTAAGTGTAGTATAAGGGTCAGGCAATGAGGGTCTAAATATAAGTCATATATTATGCTTGATCATCGTCTTTAGCCCTCATATGACCCTCATTGCCTGACACCCACTTTCTTCACTTTTATATTCTGACCCTAATTTTTTGATCCTAATACTCTGACCCTCTTTTTTTAACCCTAACATTCCGACCCTTATTCCTTCACCTTTACATTCAGGCCCTTAGTTTTTGACTCTAATAATCCGACCCTCATTTTTTAACCTCCACTTTTCGACCCTTATATTCTCACACTTGGTGTCCGACCCTTATATTACACTTGAGAGCCCTTGGTGCAACCGGGCTGATACGAAATAATCATCCTCAAATTGAAACACCCATCCGCCATTCGAATATCAAATATACTTGATTCAGGCTTATGCATATACTTAATTCTGGTATAAAATATACTCAATTCAAGTTTTTTTTAGTGTATTATTCACCGAAAATAATGATTCCATGTCTCCACAACACAAACAAAAATAACACACAAAAATGTCATAAACATAAATGAGTCAGACAAGAATAATTCGGAATCATAATAATATACATTTGAGTTTTATTTTATTACATTGCATGTACTTCATTTTTAATTTATCTTCATAATCAAGCTCAGATTTCCTTGAATATTCAAGACTGATTGACTGATTTATCGATAATAAGATCAATGGAAATTCCATGTAAATTATTCGTTGTTGAAAATTTCAACATTTTTTTCGTGAAATTTCAAGAGTCATTTTCAAACAGTGTACTTAGGCTATTTTTTCTCCAGCAAAGTGCTTGTCAACAATAATAATGTCGCCCATTCGAAAAACCTGGATTTAGAACACTTTAATACGCATCCTCTTCAGGAACAGAAATTACGCCTTCATTCAGACGATTGCATTCATTATTTTCTCGCATCACCATATAATATTTTCAATTAAATTTCATGAGGTTTCATCTTGCCGGAAACTGTGATGAGATTCAGGAATAGCTATCTCCACAACCCCTCAACTTATTACTATTATAATACTAATAATAATTTTATATTATCAAAAGTAACATGAGCTTCGCATGCGGTAAATCAAAAATTATCCCGACGATTTTTCCCCAACTCGTGATGCAAATACATAAACCCTGGAAATTTGCATTCAACGATTTAATCAAACACAAATCTAGGCTTTTTCGCGGGAGATCCACGAAGAGAGACACGAGTCCCAACAAAACCGTGAGACAGAAACTAGTAAGGCCCCCAGATAGGCACCCAGTCACCACGCAGCAATGAGGGAAGAGGTTCATCGAGAAAAGAAAACTTTTTTCTCGATATTTTTTTCATTTTTATCGCGACCGTTTTATCCTCTGCCCACGCATCGATGTTGAAGGGCGCCACAACCAACTTCTCAAGAATAATCTTCCATAGGTAATGTTGAATCGGAGAGTTGCACTGGGAGTACATATACAGAGTGAGGAGGAGGATAAAACAAGGGGGAATGAACGAGAAATAAAAAAAAATAAGGAGATGGAGGAAAGAGGAGAATGAACGCTTACGGCGAGATCCGATATCACCGGAAGGCTGTTGGTTACCACTTCTGTACGTCATTTGTCTCTGGTTCCTCTGCGCCGTCATCTCATATGTAAGAGGTCTCGAGACGGATTGATGTAGTGGGTTGGGTGGCAAGTGTTTGATTTTAAAAATTGTCTATAATAAAATTCACATTAGGACGTGAGTCTGTTTAAAATTATTAGGAACTTTCTCTTTTTCGAGGTTAGTCACCGGAATTTATGATGGAGGGTTATGAGAGGTGATGATTTATTCAGTGAATTAGTGAGTATTTATTTTTGGGAATTTTTAGGGATTTTTCATTCCAATAGAAATTACGTAATCCCTCGAATTTAAGTTTCCAATTTTTTGTGCTACGGTAACTAAATATTTTTTGCTTCATTTCTATCAAAATTTTCTTGAAAGGGATCAATCAAATTTAATTATTTCTTTAGGAATACTAGGGGCTTCGCCCGTTGCTCGCTTCGCTCGCAAACACCGGGGGGCTGCGCCCTTCCGCTCGCTTCGCTCGCTCCGCCCCCTCCTAAATTGACATTTCAACGTGAATCTGTTAGAAATTTCTGGAACTTTCTCTTTCTCGAGGCTAGTCACCGCAATTTATGATGGAGGGTTATGAGAGGTGATGATTTATTCAGTGAAGTAACTTGGGGAAGCATTGGTAATTAGTGAGTATTTATTTTTGGGAATTTTTAGGGATTTTTCATCCCAATGGAAATTATGTAATCGCTCGAATTTAAGTTTCCAATTTTTTGTGCTACGGTAACTAAATATTTTTTGCTTCATTTCTATCAAAATTTTCTTGAAAGGGATCAATCAAATTTAATTATTTTTTTTAGGAATACTAGGGGCTTCGGCCGTTGCTCGCTTCGCTCGCCAACACCGGGGGGCTGCGCCCCTCCGCTCGCTTGGCTCGCTCCGCCCCCCTCCTAAATTGACATTTCGACGTGAATCTGTTTGATATTATCCGGGACTTTCTCTTTTTCGAGGTTAGTCACCGGAATTTATGATGGAGGGTTATGAGAGGTGATGATTTATTCAGTGAAGTAACTTGGGGAAGCATTGGTAATTACTGAGTATTTATTTTTGGGAATTTTTAGGGATTTTTCATCCGAATGGACACTACGTAATCGCTCGAATTTAAGTTTCCAATGTTTTGTGTTAGGGTGACTAAATATTTTTTTCTTCATATTTATCAACATTTTCTTGAAAGGGATCAATCGAATTTCATTATTTTTTTTATGAACACTAGTGGGCTTCGCCCGTTGCTCGCTTCGCTCGCCAACCCCGGGGGCCGCCCCCCGCTCGCTTCGCTCGCTCGCCCCAAAATGAAAGTTCTAAATAAAAGTTGGACTGCAAAAGTAGAAAACCATTTCACCGGAGAAAAAATAGCCAAAGTACTTGGATATCCTCAACGGTGAAATGAAATATATCCATGAAAAATAAATGGATTATCACGAGACAAGTTCCAATCAATCCGTAAATAAAAAAATCACCTCGACGTTAGTCTATCCGAGACACCAGTTTAGGGTCTCGGGGTAAGAGATGAGAGGGCGAGTAAGGTTACAGAACATATAACTGGTGGTTGGTAGACCACCCACGGGTTGAATCGATCAGCAACTGATACCCTCCTTGAACAGCTTGGTACAGAACCACATACTTGGTTTTTGAGATAGAATAAGAGAGATAGATATAAAAATGGGAGAAAAGAATGAAAAAGAAGGAGACGGTAAAGAGTTACAGGTGCTATATGCCCGGATGGTGGTATACCGTGGCTGGATTGTGGGACCCCTTCGGGATTCTCGCTCAATTCACGATAACAGCCGTTCGAGCAACGTTTCGCGGGTGCTTTAATGTCGATCTTATCCGTTTGGAGAATTATTGTTCGAACGGCAGCCGCGTTTATTCGCCCACAAAACAAATCGCCTTCAACGCTTCTATCCTTTTCAATTCAACTTATTCTTTTCACTCGTTTATCCTTTTCTTCATTTTAGCTGTTAACTTTTATTCAGTTATTTTTCAACAATACGAAAGTAACATGGAACTGTGGATCTGTAAGGGGATACCCAGCTGATTTTCTTCTGGTAAATCGATATTGTGGAGGCGCTACTGTATCTTTGTCACATGAAAACTCGTCGAATAGTTAACGATGAAACGGCGATGACGATGAAAAAAATTCTGCCCTATTCAATTAAATATTTAGATCATATTTGAAGTCTGCTATGGTCAAATAATTATTTTATCACTATTCAATTTTCTTTCTACATCGTGCACGCATCAAAACATTTTTGTATTCAATTTTAATAATAAATGGAAAATAATTAATTTGTGAAAGAAATTGGCCACGTCGGCTCGACATAATACTTTTTTCTCAGAGTTGGTAAGCCTATCACGCTCTACTGAGGGTTCTCGCTGTACACAGTCACGCGCATAAATACGTGTAAATTTTTTCTATCGCGACTCGTTTATCCGAAAAATTCATCATCCACGTCGTTCTAATTTCCTATTGACGAGAAAAATAATAGTAAATGAATCTCAGGGCCTCTCTGTGCAGTGACCGCAAACAGAGATCACTTTAGATTCACAACTCTTTTTTAAACACATTTGAATTTACCGCGTTTATCTCCACCCGATCAACAGGTGCTGCGTTGTCGCAGTCCACAGCTGCGCGCGCAGAATTCCCGATTTTTAGTGGTTTTTTGGTAATTTTGGCTAAAAATGGTCTGAACCGATGTAATTTTTCACACGTGGACGAAGTTTCGTGATATTGGCTGCATTTTTACGTTCATGACGTGGATTTTTCTAAATTTGCCATAAGACTACGGGTTGAATTGCGTTTTTTAAAATGATTTATTTCACTTGAACCATTCTCTGCAGCAATCTGAAAATCCGCACAGGGCTTCGGAATATATCGAAGAATGTACTTGAAAAATTTCACAAAATTGGCTCGTTTTTTTACCGTTAAGGAACTGTTTTATTCGTGATGCAAATTTTCAATTCTCGCCGAGGCTGGAATGTCCATTTTCTGTTGTTAACTCACCTGTTTGTTCATGTGACTCATGTAGACGCTCAGATGTATATAGGAACCTCTTGTTTAAGTGTCTTCAATGCTCCTCCTAGTCAAGTGGTACGATATAGACCTAGCGAGGTTCTGATCTTACACCCAAAAGGTAATATTGACACTGGTAACTCGTGACTCCGACCACGGAGCATACGAGGATCGAGATGGAGACAAATATTCCACGAGGTCTTGACTCTTTTTTTCACAAAGTAGGGTAATGCGAAGGATTGGATTTCTTCTTCACCGATATGTATGGGAAAGACTGACTTTAGAATGCGAAAGAGGCCGTTCGAGTATTTGAGGAGGGGGGAATTATTTTTACTTGGAAATAACTCCACGAAATGTTTGAGTTATGGTCATTTATTTCTATGGAAATACTACAAATATTTACATGCATATCTTTACCGAGGATCACCCTCGTTTTACTGACCTCGCGCTTGCAGCTTCATCTGTTCAGGGAATGATTCAATTCTGAGTGATAAATTGGGCGCAAGCATTGGAATTGGGATTAAATAATATACAGAGTTTTTTAGAGGATAAAAGTAAGTGATATGTGTACATAGCAATTTCGCTTGATGATGCCATCTTTAGAAAGAGAACTTTTTCCATTTTTGGTCGAGACTGAAGACTTGGCCAAGAACACCAATTTTTCAATAAATCATCAACCTGTTGCTTCCTGTGATTGTTTCCACGTATTGCAATTACAGCGTACATGCCCGATCCACGGAAAACCAAATTTCCGAACCCTTTCTAAGCGTTTGAAAAACTGGCTTGACTTTTTGAAAGACATCCTAAGCACTTTGTAAACATTTCCAATCATTGAGACTTCACTATCCGTTTAAAATCTTCATCAACGATTCCGAAAATTTCACTGTTCTTCTTCCGTGTTCACATCTCTAGAAAAGATCATTCTCCATTTTTGGCCAAGACCACAAACTTGACCAAAAAAACAAATTTTTCAATAAATTATCAACCTGTTGCTTTCTGGTATTCTTTCTACGCATCACAATTACAGCGTACATGCACCATCCATAAACTCCATGGAAAACGAAATTTCCGAACCCTTCCTAAGCGCTTGTAAAACTGGCCTGAATTTTCGCAAGACTTCCTAAGCACTTTGGAAACATTTTCCAACTATCGAGACTTCACGATCCGTTCACAATCTTCACTAACCGTCCAGTGAAGTTCACCATGTCCCTGTTCACTCACCAAATGAACAAGCATAATCAGCCTTGAAGAGTCTATTCCCCCGAAACCACACACCGATGTCATGTCTTCCAACTGAGATCTAAAAGCGAAGCACTCTCAGTTTCAATAACCCTATCATTACTTTCACTATCTGAAATCCCCGCCGGTTCATCAGCATTCTCCGCGGACTGACAGGAGACACCATCTCCCACATCCTCAGCGCCAAAAGCCTTCTTACTGAGATCCATCGGCTCCTCCTGCTCCGGTCCAAGAGACTGGAAGAAAGCTGCGCGCTTGTCGGTAGCATTCGGCACATCACAGGGTTTATCTACATCAGCTTTGGGTGATGGTGTTGATCGCAGCGAAGGACTTTCACTCGAGGAAATCGACAAACTGGTGACGGATATCTGGGGTTCGACTTGGTTGACGTAGGGCACGACCAGTCTCTGTTGGAAAGGGAAGCAAGGTGTGCTGAGGAACTGCATATGATTGAGTGTGGGATGGAAGAAGGGTGGTAGCCGCCACATTGGAAACCTCGTTGCATCCGGCATCAGGAGACCATGGGGCAGCAGGTCGGACCTTATTGGAGGCCTTGACGAAGCATCAGATGATTCTTCTTTCGACAATCTGCCCTGGCCGACCCCTGAAGTCAGCCCAGATACCGCAGCGGAGTTGGAGCTGTTGTCATTGTGGTTAGCTGCGTCCAACGAATTCAGAACCTTATCAGGATTGGAGTCGTTGGGGCTCTTGAGGAGAGCCTGCTGCGCCTGGTGGGACTGCTCCTGTAGGAGACAGTGGATCTTAAACCAATTGGATCTCCTTCCGTACCGCGATCCGGATTTCGACATTCCCACCATGAGGCACTTCCGCAACCTGCACGCCTTGCAGGCAGTCCGATTCTTCTTGTTGATGACGCAGACGCCACCATTCTTGCAGCTTGATATGCTGCCGAGATTGTTGTACGTCCGTCCGAAGAACGACTGGTCAACACAGAAAAAAGATTGTTTAATCGTCATACCAAGTTAAGCTGAGAGGTATTGACATTTCGTATTATAGCGTTTGGTGAATACGAAATCGCCGGTGGGGTAATTACACTAGTATTTACGCAACTGTGTGACATTTAATATCTTTCGTACTATTTCAAACGCTTCTACGCTGATTCAAGGAAAAGGGGCTTCAGGAAAATATCGCAAGATTCGAGATCTCTTGAGCCGGAGACGTTATAAATCTACGAGTTATTGAGATTCATAAATGAAGTTCTCTATGAATTATTCATGGGACAATAGATATGTTTAGATGCGAATGTAACTCACCTTGCAACCCTCACACGTGAACGCACCGAAATGGAAACCTGCTGCTGGTTCACCGCATACTCTGCATAACTGATTCATCTGAAATCAAATCGGAGGATTTGCACGAATTAATCGTGAGGTGTGATGACTGATACGAGACGAATGGGGTAGCAGAATGGAAAAAGTTTAGCTTAATTATTAATTATTATTAATTATTCTTGGAGACCAAATTTTCTGCTTTTAGATGAAGCAGAAAAATTGATGGCATCTCAATAAAAAAAAGTCGCTAAGAATCATCCCTGGACGTCGGCAAATGACGAGTCTTGGATAGTTTTTCCCGGGAGATATTCAATTTTCTCCAACAGGAGGAATGCAAGAATCATAATCATCGTCGTAGTTATGCCTCATTATCAGCGTGAATTATTATTCCATAAAATGACGCGGGAGGCGGTCTCAGCGAGGCATATAATTCATGACAAACATAACGTGATGTACATGATGGAACGGTAAATGTCAGCATTATGGAAGTCAGAAAGTCTCTTGTTTATTCATAACTATAAATTTTTATCAGTCGACTTTAGATTTTGCTGGACGGGTATTAGCACTGGTGCAGGTGTACGGATTTGCGAGGCCGGAGCGGCGAAAGAGATGCGTGAGCCCCTCGGTTTTTCACCGGAAAATTTCAGTGCACAGTGATTTCTTGATCCAAACAGAGACTTCATTAGTTGGAAATGAAATAATTGCGTAAGCAATGAATGAACTATTCTCATTATTAACATGAACTATAGAATGCATTTTATTCATTCATTGAACATGGCATATACGTATCATATTTTACGATGGAGTTCAGATAATGGAGCTGTCGAAAAAATCCTCTGGACGAGTATAGGGGGGACGGGGGCGAAGCCCCCCCGGGGCTGGTGATCGTAGCGCGCAGGGGGCGAAGCCCTCCCATGAATATATAAAATCATGTGCTTGTCGCATCGGTGTTCATGGGCTCGTCACAATCATTGACATTGGTGTCTATCGAGTATTTAATTAATATTATCTAGGGGAGACCGGGGCAAAATGATATCGTTGTGAATATTTCCATTCACGACCTCATCGAACCTTTCCACGCATTTCCTTATTCAAAAAATAATTAATAACATGATTTGATTTTTTGATTCAAGTATATTTCATACTCAATCGGGGGATGGGCATTTCAATTCGAAGATGATTCTTTTGTATCAGGCCGGGTTGTAGTAAGACCTCTTAAGTGTAATATAAGGGTCGAAACGAACATTCTGATCCTATGCCTCACCTTTACATTCAGGCCCTCAGATTTTGACTCCAATATTCCGACCCTCATTTTTTAACCTCCACTTTTTAACCCTTATATTCTCACACTTAGTGTCTGACCCTTATATTACACTTGAGAGCGCTTGGTACAACCCGGGATGATACGAAATAATCATCCTCGAATTGAAACAACTATCCCCCATTTGAGTATAAAATATACTTGAGTCAAGTATATTTTATTCTTTAATCAGGTTTATGCATATACTTGATTCTGGTATAGAATATACTCAATTCGAGTATTTTACATTTCATATTCGTATCCAATTTTACGACGGAGTTCGGATAATGGAGCTGTCGAAAGAATCCCCTGGACGAACCGCGCAAGGGGGGGCCGAGCCCCCCCCCTAGTATTGGCGATCGCAGCGCGCAGGGGGCGCAGCCCCCTATTGAATATACAAAATCCTGTACTTGCCACGTCGGTGTTAGTGGGGCTCGTCACAGTAGTTGATGTTGGTGTCCACCACCCAGTGCTACCGTGTATACTTGCGGTAGTACTCGCAGTTGAACTAGTCACATTGGTGTCAGTGGCGTATCTCCCGATACTCGGAGTAGCGCCGAAAACCGCTGGTCCAGTCCTCGCCAATCCAGCGGCATTCGACGATTCCCCCACGTCCATTCGGACATACGTATTATCGGCTTCCACCTCAACTACCGTGGGCAATCTCGTGTGCCACATCCAGCGCCGAGATTTTTATTGCAGTCATTATCCTCCAATGGCGCCCCTCCAAAGTAATATCTATCTAGATACAAAGAAAATCAACATCTTTTATTTTATCGAAAGCCAGAAACGAATTTATCGATCATCGATCCTTCAATGTGATCATCTTGAGATCAATCTAACCTATCATTCTTGTTGGTCGTCAATTTTCGGCGCGAAATTCGAATCTGTAGCAGAAAATAGGGTCGATCAATCATTGTGTTCAATACAAAATTGAATTACACACGGAGAAATTTTAATTAAATACAATTAATATTCATTAAATCGATAGATTCATCCAAATACCGAATAATGAAGCTTTTATTCAACCTTGAACATTATTTTTATTTGCCTTTTTTCTATGTAAACAAAGACTTGATCAGTTTAGATAGTAAAGAGAACTAATTCATCGACAAATAATAATTTTCAATTATCGACTTCATGTAATTAAAAAATGCTCATTGAGATGAACTTTAGTTCAGCAATTCCCAACACAAATCCAAATGAAGCGTCTTATATTATTCAAAAGCGTCATTTCGATGTATGCACTCAATATTTCGTACGACATTTCTCCGACGGAAGTCAACTCAGTACCGAAATGGCGAACGACAACCGATCGATCACTCTCAATAATCACGTGACCACAAGTTCAATTTTTATAACTTATCAATTTCCATAATTCACCGTACAATCACGCGACTACTGCCCTCGCAAAGTGATTCCTTCATAATCGCCACTCAGAAGTATCAATCTCACTCGGAATAACGGCATCCAACACAAACGGCCGTCAAAAATAATAGAAAAAGCAGTTGCACAATGTCAACTCCTCACCTCTCATAAAGTATCCACAATTCACTCTTCTTCATGGCCACAAAAACCATAAACCAAATCATCGCTGTCACTCAAACATTCCGAGTAGAATCCATTGCGTGAGGATTCAAGAGTGACCTTTCCCCGGGTTTCGAGTGACTCGAAATTTTTTTTTTTTTTGAAAATGTTGGATCAAGTCGCGTGGACACCGGTGAGACTCACCCGTAAATTGCCGACCGGCCGGCGCGAGGCGTGCGCTCACCAAGCACGTGGCCACAAGACTGAAACCCCTGCCTCTCTTGCTGCGTCAGGTTTGTTTGTCTGCTCTTATCTCGCTTCTATATACTATAGGAGACATGTAAGGCTTGTGTTTAGTATAGCTCGCGGATACCCTGTCCTTCTTGAACTCCGGCTTCACACACGGGGACTCCTATAAGGTGGATTATGGACAACAGGTTGGCAGGTCGCACGCATTAGATGTCGTACCGGTTAATGCACTGATAGACCGGATTAGTTATTGTTAATGAATGGATTTTGGTTGGAGGTTACGGTCTATTCGGTTCCACCAAATGTTCATTCGTTAATAGTTAACGAATGTATATTTGAGGAACCTTGTTTGACTTGACTTTCGCCATTCAAGTGAACCATTCGTTAACTATTAACGAATATTCATTTGGTCATATTCAACTCTACCATTCGTTAATAGTTAGTGAATCTCGTTTGGAATAAATGAATCATTCTATCAGTGTGTGAGTGCTGGCTTTGTCATTGACCTTTGGAGATTTTCCGGATTTCGGGTGAGTTCACTGTTGAAAAAATTTAACTGAATTTTCCAGAAAATGACACTGAATTCAATTTAACGGGAAAAAGTCTATGAAACCACAAGTTTTCATGAAAATTCAAGGAAATTCCTGATTTTTCAGTGGAAGAACCACACGGAGAGAAATGTTCAGTAAAAATTACGGAACTCACAATTCACTCACTGATTAAGAAATCGACTCAGACAATTCAAGTGACGGTATCGTAATTTTTCACAGGAGAATCGGATAAAAATTACGGAGCGCTCCGGAAAAACTCCGTGACAGGTCCGCAAAATTTTCTACAACCACATTTCGCTCCGGAATTACGGAAAAGATACGTCATTTTTATTAAATATTTCTCTCTGTGCATGAAGATCCCGAAATTTCCATGAATTTTCAATGTACACATGGTAATTCAGTAAGAAATTGCGCTGAAATTTCAAAAAATTGAAAATTCAAGGATATTTTTGCTTCTTTTCTTTCCTCTCCACCTCTCCTCTTAAGTTGGCGTCTCTTAATTGCTTCTTCTTTTCTTTTTCCTTCTTTGACGCATCCTTTTGCCTTCAATCTTCGCCTCATTAATTTGATAAACCTTTACTTATTTTAACCTATTTTTAATTGGTGTCAGAAGGGAGATTTGAACCCGGAGAGAAATGTTCAGTAAAAATTACGGAACTCACAGTTCGCTCAATGGTTACGGACTCGACTCACAATCAGAAAATTTGAGTGACGGTATCGTAATTTTTCACAAGAGATTCAGGTAAAAATTCTCTGAAAAAATTCCGTGACAGTTCCGTAAAATTTCCTAAAACCACATTTCGCTCCGGAATTACGGAAAAGATACGTAATTTTTATTGAATACGTCTCGCTGTGTAGTGAGAGTGTCACTGAGTGATGTTTTAATGCTTTCGTCGTCATTTTTTAGTCAATAAATTGATGGTATGCTTCCGAATGGTTTCAGCAACACTGTCAGAAAATTACTCTTGAAATTTCAAGTGAAAAAGCTTGAAATTTTTAACAACGACAAAGTTACATGAAATGCATATTTCGTAAAATCATATTTCATGCATATTTCATTGACGAATCAGTTAAGTTCTTGAAGATTCAAGTAATTCTCAATTTTCAGGTCCATACGGTGCTGGAAAACATTGAAAATTCAGCCAACAACTTGTCGAAATTCTCAAGCTACTGAAATAGTTATTTTCATCACGAAGTCTACAAAGTATTTTCTGATGAATGTGGCTTTGTAGGCCGAGCCGAAGCCGAGGCCTATAATCACATTCGTCAGAAAATATTTTTGGACCGTGTGATGAATGCAATTTTTCGTCAGAAGGCCCGTAAACCGCGATCAAACCGAGGGTCTTCTCACGAAAATTGAATTGTACGTGATGTTCAATTTTCACGATGAGTTTGGAAATTCAAGCTTTCATTGAAAAATCAATGGTTGTTTAACCTGAAAAACAAAATTTTCTTGAATTTTCAAGGTGAACGAGAAATTTCGTGAACACTTTCATTTGAAATTGAATTCAAACGCACAATATCAAAAATTCAAATGTCGTGCTATTCAGGATAATATTATTACTGACTTCTGCGGCAATTTTCATTGATTTTATTTCTCTTAAAGAACAGAAAATCAATGGAATATTTGATTTTTCGATGACGAGATTTTCTGAAATTTCAATGGAACTTGAACACGATACCCATTTCCAGAATTTGGCTGATTGCTGATTCGATTAGCCGAAATATGAATTGACACGAATCAATTTCAAGAAACGCCAAAAATCTTATCCCACGAATATTTTTATCTAAAAATTTCCATCGATTTTCGTTCTCTTCAAGTACCACCGTCTCTTCTATCTTCTATCCTCAATTTTTTCACCAAACTTATCAGAAATCAGGAAGAATGAGGAAGAACGAATGCAATCATGATTTAGAACGCGAATGGCAAGTAGTCGCAGAATAAAAAGTAGCGGAATATAAAAATCGGGGGAAAAAAACAACGTCGTAGAGGGGGTAAGAGAGACTCGCACGAGTCGTGCGCACGCGAGATCACACGGGTGCGCAACTGAGTGGGAGGTGCCTTGATCGGCAGCCAATAGAAAGATCCGCCACCCACGAAGTGATAAAAATTAATTTATCGTGGGATCATACGCCTACGCCATTGCTGGAGAAGCAAGAGTGGGCTTGGCAATGTCATTGGTATCAGACGGGAGATAGCGTTGACGGTCGGGCATTTTGTCAATATTGGGGGGGGGAGAGGGGTGGTATTTGGCGATGGGTCATCGGACATTGTATGAGGGAAATCACTGTTCAGTACAAGGGATGGATGAGAAGGGTTTGGCATTGCTGTTTTTTCTGTTGCGAAAGGGAATTCAGTAGTTATCGAGCATTTTAATTATTTTTCACACTGAAAGAAAAAATTAACTCTGCCGAATATTTGATGGAGTGGAACAGATTAACTTGAGGGAAATTAACCAACTTGATAGAAGGAAATTTAATTCTTCACAAAAACGTTCTGACGACCAAAATAATATCAAAATTGAAGCTCATAACAATAACGAAAACTTCTGGAATTTTTTCAAGTTTTATACCCACAAAAATGGTTTATTTGAAACAAGTAAATAAATTTATTTAAATAGTTTGAAATAAAATTTTCATTCAAGATGAAAATTTTTTTCTAGTTCAGGTTCTGCTTATGTTGAATAAATTTTTTTTATTTTGTTATTTTTGGCATATTTTTTCATTTTTTTATCATCTGATGGAAATAAATTCTTTATAAATAAATAAGGATTGTTCTTATACTATGAAAATTTCTTTGTTTGAAATTCATAAAATGTTTTCTTAAATTTAATAGAAACTTCATTTGAAATTTATGAATTGTTTATTTGATACAGTGAAGTCCTTTCTTTTGAAACAAGTAAACAAATTAATTCACTTCGTTTGAGTTATTTAAATAGAAGCATTCTGGTTGAGTTTATGCTCAAGTAACAGTCTAGTATATTAAAAATAATTAATATAGAAGTGCAAAAATGACAGAGAGTATTATGAGAAAATTAACTTTTCGAGATTGAAAAGATTGAAATCTAAAAAAAAATCTCGAAGAATAAAAAAAATTCAACAGCTGAGAAATTGGGCCATATAATTCTCATCCGTCGTATTGCTTTTTTCAATGGGAATTATTGTAAACAATTAATTGAAAGAAATATCGAATCCGACAGGAAAAAATGATGAACGACATGATGAACGAAAGAGTTCATGGAAAAAATTATCAACGACGAGTGATAATTTTTCATTTTTTGAATTTATATTTCCTCGCTACACTCAAGGACTCACCTACGGCTCGTTCATCCTACCTTAACATTATAAATTTGGCTGCCCTTATCTTCAAACTCTCAAAACCGAGTCCGTGGCTCCATCCGTCGACCACTTGCGCAATTCACTCAATTTTCTCGAAAAATTATCGGCTGTCGTTGACGCCCCGACTACTCAGATATCCTCTACACCGACGTCGGCTAAAACGTCGAACATCTAGGGACCTTGAATGAACTAGAGCTTGGGGTGTTGACCGCAGTAGAACATAACCTGCATCATCAGTCTTGGGAACTGACAACCGTGAATATATAGTTCTTGTTGTTTCAGTGTTTCATCAGTTCTATTACCAGTGAAGTCCTACAATTGCCTGTATTCATCGTAAATTCAGGCCAATGAAGATGAATATCACTTCCGCAGGTATCAATCACTCGATTATTATGAATAATAGGAGTCATTCCTCTCAATTATCAGAAGGTCTGAACGTAAATTCTGAGGATGAGTTGCAGGTTTGGAGCACCTAACCCCAAAATCCTCAATAAAATGCACAATTTGCAGGAGCTATTGTCATAACTGTTGTCTTTCTGAGGCATCAAACGTCATTATTTTGAGATAATCGACCCCGTAATGTTCTCCAGAAAAATGAATGTCAGTAATTTGTTGATTTTTAATGACAGCCGGCATAATCTCCCTCCTGGAGGAGCCCATGCCAGATCTCAAGGTTTTTGCCTTGAAGAAACTCGATCTGATTGTTGATGAATTCTGGCCGGAGATTTCTGAAGCTATCGAGAAGATGTAAGTGTTTATATTCAAATTTCATCCCTGAAATATTCATAATTTTCCTCGGTGAATGAACAAAACATTGTTAGTTGGCCTCATAGTTATCTTTTTATAAATATAAGTTTTGTTCGTCGAAATGTTGGAGATGAATAATTACTTCATTCATTAGAATTCGATTTGCTTTAAATTTCGGTTTCTTATGTCTAAAACTAGGCATAACGGAGTTAATTCCATAGTTAACAGAAAAGAACAACTATTGAAAATTTTTTAAAAAACATTTTAAGTTAAACTTCCATCATTTCAAGATGATCTTGCGAATGAATAAGAAAATACATAGAAATAGAAATAGAAATATTTCCTTCACTTCAATCTTTAGTTGACAATTCACGATTTTGCCGGCACGAATTTCAAAAATGTAATTTCCTCTGTCATATCAAGTAAACAAACAAATGCCAAACTTGAGCATTATTGAACTCCTAAAAAACATTTTAAAAATCTGAAAAAAAATTAGAAAGTTTACTTTTGAGGAAAGATTAATGAAATAATTTTTAAATTGCATTCTTGAAAATTACGAGAATTTTTTATAAATAATTTATAAACAATCAATTTTCCACCATGATTTTTTCGAATCATTTGTTCGAAATCGTAAAAAATTTTTCATACTCAGAATTTTACCAGAAATCCATTTCATGCCTAAAAGATAAGATTTCCGAAAGATTAACCAATTTTAACTATTAATTTCTAAACGGCGAATATTAAAAAAAAAATTCTGTGAAAAATGTAATTTGAATGACGAAATGTAATTCACGATTTTCTTCACATTTTTCCCACTCAATTTACTTGACAAATTTGATGATTGAAAATGGTTGAGTCTATAATGTGATCAGTACCAAACTGTAAAGGACACTTGGATATCCTTAATCATAATTCCTGAACCTCGCAGTGAAATCCTCCACGAAGACAAGGCCTTCAATCAGCACGAGCTGGCAGCCCTAGTGGCGAGTAAAGTGTACTACCACCTAGGCAGCTTCGAGGACTCCCTGACGTATGCCCTGGGGGCTGGTGAGCTCTTCGACGTTAACGCGAGGAACGAGTACGTGGACACGACAATAGCGAAATGCATCGACTACTACACCCAACAGCGGGTGATGGAGGCCGAGGGGAGTACCCCTGCAGGCTACAAGGGAATCGATCCACGTCTCGAGGGCATCGTCAACAGAATGTTCCAGAGGTGTCTCGACGACAATCAGTACCGTCAGGCCCTCGGCCTAGCCCTGGAGACTCGACGAATGGACATCTTCGAGGCTTCCATAATGCAGTCCGACGACGTCGCCGGAATGCTCTCCTACGCTTTTCAGGTGAGAATGAGAAAGAATTCCATAACATACGAGAGAGAAAGGGTCAGGCGATTTCAAAGGAGTATAAACTTCGTTGAGTGGTTGAGTGTAACGAGAAAATATAACTTTAAAAGCCAGAAAATAAACGAGTGGATCATTGCACAGGTTAAGGCCCGGGTCTACTATCTTTCGAACGTTATCTCGATGTTTTTTTTTCATCTTTCGTCATCTAAAATTGTCAATTAAGTCCTGCATCGTGCAGAAGTTTTGAAAAATTATGAATGAATAATTAAAAAAAAGTAGAAAGAATTCTTAATTTTTTCAAAGAGCATTTTTACTTTATATTCAGAATAAGTTGAATAACAAGAAATTGAAAAATGTTCATTCTGCTTCCAGGTCGCCATGAGCCTCATTCAAAATCGAGGATTCAGAAACACAGTACTGAGGTGCCTCGTCAATCTCTACCGCAACCTGGGGACCCCAGACTACGTCAACATGTGTCAGTGCCTGATTTTTCTCGACGATCCCCTAGCTGTTGCTGAACTTCTGGATCGACTCAGTAGAGGCTCCCAGGACTGCGTCCTCATGGCGTATCAGATTGCCTTCGATCTCTACGAATCAGCAACTCAACAGTTCCTCGGGCGTGTTCTGCAGGCCCTGAGGGCTACTGCACCCATTCCCAGTGCTCTGATGGTTAAACCAATTGTCAAACCCACTGTTAAAGCTACTGAGGCTAGTGCTGAGACCCCTGTGGCCACGGAAAATTCAACGCCTGTGGAGGAGAAGGTGGAACGAAGTGTGGAGAGCTTGGTAATTATTTTTATTGTTTTCGAATGGGAGTTTTGGAATTGTTCAAATTTAAGTTTCGGATTTTTTGGCTTATATTGACCCATTATGATCCAAAAAGTCCGAAAATGCAATTTTCGTCATTTATTTCCCTCAAATGTAGCCATTGTTGAGCCCTATCGATCGACTTTAATTAAAATTTAATTCATTTAATAATTTTTTTAATTCTTAAATTATTTCAACAATCGGTTGTCCCACGATAACTAAAAATAATGTTTATAATGTTTTCGTGAAACGTATTCATAAAAAATGATCTCAACATCAAGATAATTCATCTGGTTAAATTTTCCTCCATCAAATGCAGATATTTTTCAATAAAAAATCTGAACGTAACAATTGCTGGTGTTGAAGAATAAAATACGTTTGAGAAAAAATGCTTATTCGTTCATTTTATTTATTTTATCTTTAATTGAACTTTTATTTTTGTTAGACGACTGAAGAACGCGAACAGCAAGAACGTGTAGACGCCCTATCCAGTATTCTCGGTGGAGAAGTATCCATCGACCTTCACCTGCAATTCCTCATCAGGAGTAATCACACAGACATGCTAATCCTGAAGAACACGAAAGATGCTATTAGGGTCTCCATATGTCACACTGCCACTGTCATTGCCAATGCATTCATGCATTCTGGCACAACTAGTGATCAATTCCTGCGGTACGTCTCTTGATTGATTTATTTTCTTTCGTGTCTGGAATATTTCAATGATGACATGATTCATATTATCAATATTTCACCAATTTCTTTCACTCATCAAAGTTAGAATTCATGTTAAAGATGATTAATAGTAAACAATTATTTTTTTTAACGTTTTAAATTAATTCTTCCTTGTTACATAACTTCACTGGAGTATGTTCATATTATTTTGAAGTAGTGTACACATCTCGATTATCACAGATTAAAATTTGAAATAAATAAGTGCATTCTCTCATATTTTCTTCGATAGCTGGAATATTTCAATGATGACATGAATCATGTTATCAATAATTCATTAATTTCTTGCACTCAATCAAGTTAAAATTCATGTTAAAAATGATCAATGGTGAGCAATTTTTTTTTGGGTATTTTAATGTTAAAATCAATTTAAATATTAAAATCTAAAGTAAATTTCAACTATAAGTTGTGATGTCTAGTATTATTGATGACAGCGAATTTAGAAGTGTTAAATAACATGAAGTCTTATAAAAAAATTATCTTTTCAAGGTCATTCTCTCATATTCTATATCACTCATATTTTCTTCCACATCAGGAATATTTGATTCATATTGTCAATAAGAGAATTATTATGGTTGTAGGGATAATCTCGAATGGTTGGCTCGAGCAACGAACTGGGCCAAATTGACAGCCACTGCATCGTTGGGTGTGATCCATCGGGGCCACGAGCAGGAAGCCCTCGCCCTGATGCAGTCGTATCTACCCCGTGACACTGGAGCTGGTGCTGGGTATTCCGAGGGCGGTGGCTTGTATGCTCTTGGGTTAATTCACGCCAATCATGGGGCTACCATCACAGATTATCTTCTTGGACAGCTGAAGGATGCCCAGAATGAGGTATTGAAAACGTTATCATAGAAATCAGTAGCGAAGTGGTTAAACGGTTTAAAGTGTCCATTTTGCTCCGGCCTGTCCCATATTAAAGTTTACATTATTTTGAAATTCGGTGGAAAAGAGAACGATTGCGAAGAGATTAATGTTACATTAGTGTTAAAAATATGAAAGAGCTTATGAACAGCTGAAAAATATTTTTGAACGATGATTTTGGAATTCAATATTGATAAAACTAATTTTAAAAAATTTCAAGTTGTTCTCCGTATTCAATCGTTAGAGACCAATTTTTCAAAAATTAAAGAATGACGCTTTTTAAAGAAAATTTATGAAGCCATTGAAATTTTTTAGAAAAAACGCGATAACTTTGATAAAAAAAATAGAGTATTTACTCCGAATTGTTGACTGAAAATATTTTTGAATGATGATTTTGGAATTCAGTATTGATAAATCTTGGACACATCTTCCAACAGTTGATCCTCAGGGAATGATGTATATTCTAGCGCATGAAAGAAATAATGCAGTCGATCAATAGATGGAGAGGGGGGAAAAATCAACATTTTAAAGGTGTTTGAATCAACACAATACTCTTCTGAAAATAATTTTTTGGGACAACTAAATCTAGTTTTGCGACAGGAATTTGTCATCACAGAGCACTTGTTAAATGTTTAGTGCAAAATGTTTGTGAATATTTTTTTTCTACCAGTGTAATGTGAAAAATCACAGTCCGTAGGACATGATAATTTGAGATTTCCGAAGGCTCTAAAAAATTGCAGAGATCTGGACCTGTACATAATCTTCTGGAAAATTTGGCAATCGTGCGGAAAACTCTCCAATTTACCAAGCCCCGATAAATCTTTCTAGCACATCCCACGGGGTTCTGGAAATCTCCGGAGATTTCTAGAAACTCCTCGATTAATTCAGGAGCTTACGAGATCTTTTATGATTGATGTGCTCCCCGGTATGCTTCGGAAATGGTCCAGAATATTCTAGAATTTTTCATTGAAAAGTTGATTTCATCATGAATGAATAATTCTCATTCTTATCTACTCACGCAAGGGAACTTCGTCTCTTTCAATATCAGTACATTTTTTTTCTACAATTAGCGATAAGAAGCCCTTTCACGTGTCGGATTTGTTATTCCTTTTTCCATTAATTGTTTATAATCATTGCAAAATCAATACGACGGATGAGAATCATATGTCCCAATTTATCAGCTGTTAAATTTTCATATTACAACAAATGATTTGCTCATGTCCTAATTCCTACGCTCACTGAATACGATTTTAATCATAATTACAATTCAATTCCTTCTAGAACACACTTTAGAGTGTGAATTCCTGGAATTCAATGTTGATTGATACTCTGGCAAAAGTGTGAGCCCACACTACTATCAATTTTTAATTAGTTGACACGGTAATTCAATTAATCTGCTGTTTATCTCATCAATATAATTCCGTGCTTAGAATATTGTCAGCTCGTGTTTTCAACACCAAATTAAAAATTAAAACTTCATTTGGAATATTGAGTCACAGCTTCTTTTTGTTCATATCAGAAATCCTTAAGGTAAAAAATGTGAGATAATCTCATGATTCTAGATATTAATTCTAATCAACTTTGTTCGAAGAAAACCTTAGTAAACGAAATATTAAAAAAGTAGAATTATTCTATTCTCCTCTTGCCTAAATGATTTGGACAATTATGATTCGTTTATTCATGTTTCATAGAATGGTATTCAGTTCTCTTTATTCAATTCTCAGAACATCGTAAAAATAATTAAATAACTTGATTCAAAATAACATTGCGGAGTAGAAAATAAAACGTGTTATGTGTGTTCAGACGAAAAAAAGTGTCAATCTAATAAAATCAAACAGTTGTCATCTCATTGATGCCATAATTTCATACTCAAACAAAAAGAACTTCTCATAAAAATTCTCATCCAATCAAAATCAATGATTGAAACGCTCATCATGAATATTTAAATATCCAAAATTAAAAGATGTCATTCCACTTCTGACGTGCTACAACATTTTCCACAGTTTGTGAACTTGTAATTCAATTTTCATATTGTCTCGAGGGCCTGCAATAGACCCCACGGTACGCAGAAACCTTTAGTATCCTTCATATCATGAAATAATTATTCTGACTTTTTCAGATGGTTCGTCACGGCGGATGTCTGGGTCTCGGTCTCGCCGCTATGGGGTCCCACCGTCAAGACGTCTACGAACAACTCAAGTTTAATCTCTACCAGGATGATGCTGTCACTGGAGAAGCTGCTGGAATCGCCATGGGCATGGTCATGCTGGGTTCTAAATCTACTCAGGCCATTGAGGACATGGTTGCGGTAAGAATCTCCTCTTTTTCAAAATTAAAAATGTCTGGATTTTATTTTCCATTTTGAATCGGTAGAAAGCGTTTTAAAAATGTCAAAAATCGCGAAGTCTACTTTTTAAAGAAGACTCGTAGATTAATCAAAATTTTTCAATTAAACAATTTTTTTAATTGAAAAAGCAATTATTTTTTGGTAATTTTAAATTAATGATTTTGTTGGCGCAAACAGGACTTGTTTGAGAACTTGTTCGGTTTCCTCTCAGTGCAGGGTATTCAACATTTCGCAATGGTTTTGTTATTTGAATTTATTAAATTTGAAACATTTGGAATTATTTTTCATTTTAAACTGTTAGAAAACTTTCATTTTATTATAAAATTACACTTTTTAGTCATTCATAAAACAATGGAAATGTTTTCAACAGAACTCTAGTAAAAAAGATACTGTATTTACTCTGCATTGTTCTCTCAGTGAAAATATCTTTAAATGCATCATGTAGTCGGTACGATTATAATTTTTTTCCCGTCCAATACCCTCGGGACTAAATAATGCTCTTCCAATCCCCATGGAATAGAAGATATCCGAGTGTTTTAAACATTTTTTTTCCGTTGAAATCCTTTGAAATATTTTCAGTTAAAGATCAAAGCTTCCTTTTAAATCCCATCTGACCTTAGAGTATTAAATACTTTGCTATAATTCTGTTATTTAAATTCAAAAGACCTGGAGTTATTCTCCATTTTCAACCGTTAGAAAACATATTTTTAATTTTAAAAATGACACTTTTTAAAGAAAATTCATAAAACGATCAAAATTTCAATCATTAGAAAACCTTTTGTTCGTTGAAAAATTGTCTCCACAAAAAAATACCTAAATCTACAATGCAATTGCTGCAAAAATCACGAGGAAAATACTATTCCTTCATTTCCCTTACATCCAAACCTTTTTAATCTATTTATTACAGCAGTTTTACTTCTATCAATTAAAATTTTCACTTACAAAAAAATCCAATTATAATGCCTGAAACGTCCTTTTCTGTTCTACAGTACGCCCAGGAGACTCAGCACGAGAAAATTCTACGTGGTCTAGCGGTGGGTATCGCGTTTACGATGTACGGACGTCTCGAAGAAGCTGATCCGCTCGTAACTTCATTATGTGCTGACAAAGATCCGATTCTGAGGAGGAGTGGAATGTACACTCTGGCTATGGCATATTGTGGCACTGGGAATAATCAAGCGATTCGAAAACTTCTTCACGTTGCGGTAAGTATTTTTATTGGACACTCAAGGCATTTATTTCATTTTTTCTGTGGTTATTACCAGTTTAAAGTAGCGTGAACATTCCTTAATGTTAAAGTTAAAAATTGTGGATGCTGTTTAAATGGGGGTTGATATAAATAAATTTATTATTATTGACCAGAATTAATTTAGAAGGGCTTAATAACACGATTAATGAGGAACCGGCGAGAAAAAAAATGCAGCCAATTTTATGAAATTTTTTAAGTGCATTCTTCGATATATTCCGCAGCCCTGTGCGGAGTTTCAGATTGCTGCAGAGAATGGTTCAAATGAAATAAATTATTTAAAAATCGCATTTAACTCGTGTTCTCATGGCAAATGTAGAAAAATCCACATCATGAACGTAAAAATGCAGCCAATGTCACGAAATTTCGTCCACGTGTGACATATTGATAAATACACCTTCTGCAAGAAAAATTACATCGGTTCAGAATATTTTTTAGCCAAAATTACCAAAAAACCACAAAAAATCAGAATTTCTGCGCGCGCAGCTGTGAACTGCGACAACGCAGCACCTGCCGATCGGGTGGGGATAAACACGGTAAATTCAAACGTGTATAAAAGAGAGTCGTGGATGTAAAGGGATCTCTGTTTGAGGTTACTTCACAGAGAGGCCCTGGGATTCATTTACTATTATTTTTCTCATCGATAGGAAATTAGAACGACGTGGGTGATGAATTTTTCGGATAAACGAGTCGCGATGGAAAAAATTTACACGCGTTTATGCACGTGACTGTGTACAGCGAGAACCTTCACTAGGGCGTGACAGGCTTACCAACTCTGAGAAACAAAGTATTATGGCGGGCCGACGTTGCCACTTTTTTTCACAAATTAATTATTTTCCATTTATGATTAAAATTGAATATAAAAATGTTTTGATGCGTGCGCGATGTAGGAAAAAATATTTGTTGGGCATTTTCAATTCATTTTTCCTCATTGCACTCAACAAATCGTCTAAAGTATGTTCATACTATTTTTAGAACGAAAGGGGGAAAAAGTTAATCTCAAAATGGCTCTCCCCTGAAACCCCTTTTTTAACGTAAAAAATTGTATCGATCGATGGAGCAATTTATTGCATGCAATGAAATTTAAAAAGACTCTAAAATCAATCTATATATTGAACGCAACTAGATTATTGAGATATTCCAGTAATGGATCCAGTAACTCAATCAACTCAACAAATTCTATTGGCTTTTAGCGCCCTTAAAGCACTTTGAGATGTTGCCCCAGTTTTATCTTTCCTCTCTCCCCCACTTTCCAATTCCGTGGGGACCTGATCAGTGACCAAACCGTCCAGTCATCAGAAAACTGATGAGATTTGTTAAAGAATTGATGGTGAATAACTTCAATCAATGGTATAAAAGAGAGTTGGAGAGTTTCAAATCGATATGTCTTACAATTTTATTCTTTTTCGTTCAGTATACTCGAGGCGAAATAATTCTCTTCGAATCCCCATCGAGTTGCGGATATCCTTTACTTTAGAGAAGTGCTTTAGATATATATTTTTTGTTTCGTTGAAATCCTTCCAAATATTTCTACGCAACAGATCCTCTAAACCCCATTTGACCCGAGGGTAGCGAACGTTTTGCAGTGATTTTATTCTCGAAAATTCAAGTGTCTGGATTTTATTCTACATTTTAAACCATTAGATGCAGACGACTTTTTAATTAATATTTAGGAAATTATTAAAAGTTTTTAACTAGAACTTTAGTTCAAAATGCCATAACTCTAGTAAAAATTTCGATATTCACTTCAATTTTTTTTCTCATTGTGAATATTTGTGAATCTATGTAGTCCCTACAGTTCTATCATTTTTCATGGAATTGAGAATATCCGAGAATTTTCAACTTTTTTTTAAACCCATATTTTACCCTACGATCGTGAACATTTTGCAATGATTTTGTTATTTAAACTTGAAAGATCTGGATTTTATTCTCCATTTGCAACAGTTAGAAACATTTTTTAAAAAATATTTTTAAAATCACACTTTTTAAAGAAAATTCTTAAACTGAATTAAATGTTTGCACCAGAATTCTAGTGGAAAATGCAATAACTCTAGTAAAAATAGCAATTTATCTTCCAAATTTTGTACTCCGCACGAAATTGAGAAGTTCTCTTATCCTTAAAGAGCATCCCAATAAAAAGCCCGTATAATTTCTTGAATTACTTCCTTGAAGGTGTCTGACGTTAATGACGATGTGCGTCGCGCAGCAGTGACAGGTCTCGGATTCCTCCTATTTAGGTGAGTAATTATCATAATAAATTGAAATTTGCATGTACAAACTGAATATTCCGAACTCAAACAACAGTTGTTACAAACTCAACTATCAAACTCTCCACCTCCACGATTACCTGTTTATTCATCATTCGGTTTCGTTATCAACTTGAAAAAGTTTTCCAATTATTCATTGAAGGGTGCAGTGAAACTACATGCAAAATTAGCTACACTTGACGGAGGAAACTTATGAGTTTCTATTTGAGTTTACCATAATCAAGGGGCCAATTTGCCGTTGTACTCTTGAAATGATAAAACTCGTTGGGAGTCCATTGAAAATTCTACGGTCCTGAAACCTTTTTCTCGGATGTGAATACTTTCTGAAAAAATATCTCGAACGAATGGAGAAAGTAAGGCGGTTTTCATGAATGAGTACAATCGTCCTGCGTCGAGTTTTCATGAAGCGCGCCTAACAAACAACAGAGAATTGAATACCATTCTATGAAACGTGAATAAATGAATCATAATTGTTCAAATCATTTAGGTCAGAGGAAAACAGAATAATTATACTTTCTTAATATTGCATTTACTAAGGTTTTCTTCGAACAAAGTTGATTGGAATTAACAGCTAGAATTATGAGATGATCTCACATTTTTGACGTTAAGGATAGGAGAATCTGAATGCAATATAGTGAAAATGATGATCGATTTTTTCACTTTGAACAAATAATATTAATATCCAAATACAAAATTTCTGATATGAATAAAAAGAAGCTGTGACTCAATATTCCAAATGAAGTTTTAATTTTTAATTTGGTGCTGAAAACACGAGATGACAATATTCTAAGCACGCAATTATATTGATGAGATGAACAACAGATTAATTGAATTACCGTGAGAACTAACTAAAAATTGATAACAGTGTGGGCACGCACATTCACCAGAGTATCAGCAAACATTGAATTCCAGAAATTCACACTCTAAAGTGTGTTCTAGAAGGAATTGAATTGTAATTATGATTAAAATCTTATTCAGTGAGCGTAGGAATTAGAACAGGAGAAATCATTTATTGTAATGTGAAAATTTAACAGCTGATAAATTGGGAGAAATTATTCTCATCGGTCGTATAGCTTTTTGCAATCATAATGATTATAAACAATTAATTGAAGAAAGGAATATCGAATGAAAGGGCATAAAGATCTGTACAAGCGTTCGAAAGATCATACATCAATTAGAAGAAAAATGTAGAGTTAATTTCCTCCGCCGCAGCTATTTCAAATCTCAAGAGTATTTCGCCATCAACTAATGGAAAGCGAGTTTTCACCTTGGTAATCTGACATTAACACCTTCGTGGTCACAGACGCCTGAAAGCATAGTTCCCAGGAGGGAGGGAAACAGTGGGTGTAGGACTCTCCGGGTGGGGATGCGGCATTGTGAGCCAAAGTTGGAGAAATAGAGATAGACCTGTAACCAAGGTGTTAACAAGTGCAGACATCCTTCTCCGAGATGAGTCGCAACTCTAGATTGGTTCAGCGTAATTCTAATCAGCGCATTAATTCAGATGGAAATATGAATCCCAGACGCTTCATCTTCACTTCATCATTCATTGTTGCTACTGATTTTTTGAAATGTCAATTGCTGATGGGAATTGGTGTTTCTGATAGCACAAGCTTCAAAAAGGCAATATGTATGATGATTTAATTTTCTCCTCGCCTCTTTCTGCGCGTTCAAGGATAGTGGTGCATGCAGTCATCTCTGGGGTTTGTCACTCATCATCATTTCAATATTCCTGGGTTCGCATTGACTGCCAAATTCTGAATACCGAGGAAGTCCTCTCAAACTTCCCTCCGAAGATTAAAAAAAAACATTCTCATAATCGCCCATGTAATTGCCGTCGGTATTCCCTCTTCAAGAGAACTTTAAAAATTTGATAATATAAGAGTTGAGCCGGCCGTTACGAGTGAAAAGCCGAGCACACATTTTTTAATAAGCCCATGAGTTTCAACTTTTATTATAAAATTGATAAGCTTTTAGAGTTAACCCAGCAAAATCGGATAGTAAAGTGGTTGCAAAGGTAACAGTACCCTGTCGACGTGTAGTTGATGCAACGCTTCACCGATGTTGCCTAATTCAGATGGAAACACGAATCCCAGACGCTCCATCTTCACTTCATCATTCATTGTTGCTATTGATTTTTTGAAATGTCAATTGCTGATGGGAATTGGTGTTTCTGATAGCACAAGCTTCAAAAAGGCAATATGTATGATGATTTAATTTTCTCCTCGCCTCTTTCTGCGCGTTCAAGGATAGTGGTGCATGCAGTCATCTCTGGGGTTTGTCACTCATCATCATTTCAATATTCCTGGGTTCGCATTGACTGCCAAATTCTGAATACCGAGGAAGTCCTCTCAAACTTCCCTCCGCAGATAAAAAAAAACATTCTCTGCCGGCGGTATTCCCTCTTCAAGAGAACTTTAAAAATTTGATAATATAAGAGTTGAGCCGGCCATTACGAGTGAAAAGCCGAGCACACATTTTTTAATAAGCCCATGAGGTTCAACTTTTATTATAAAATTAATAAGCCGCGAGAGTTAATCCAGCAAAATCAGACAGTAAAAGGGCTTGCTACGGTAGCAGTATCCTGTCGATGTGTAGTTGATGCATCGTCTCGCGGATGTTACCTAGCAACCTTGTTACCGCCTGATTTTGAGGATAAACTCAACGGCTCTATTTATTCATAACCACGCCTCGCCAAGAAATTTCTAATAATGACGCAAATTGCTCCATAATAATGCCGTTAATTGATTTCTGGGGCGGCTAGGAGTATGCTTTTGCTCATTTAACGGGATGAAAATATCGTCTACTCCATTATCTTCATTTTCAATTTACCGGCTTGTCTGCATGGACGAATATATTTTGTAGAAAAACTTAACGAATTCTCTGGATAATTTCATCAGTTTTTCGCTGATTCTGTTGAAAAATTACGCATTTCTAATGCGATTTTTTTCAATAAAAATGTTTAATGGGACATCCCGAGTCGAATAATTGGACCTGACAAGTTCTACTTAGGTTTTTCCGTTCAGAACTGGATAGGTCTTGGGATGCCTCTTCCCAAGTGCTTTCGAGACCTTTCTACCTCTGGTTATGTCCCATTTCAGCACTTGTTAGGTGTAAGCAGAACTTGTATTCAGACTTTCCAAATCCTTGCCGGTCCCCGTAATTCTATGGGCCTATATTAAATCTGCGTTCATATCCCTGTTTACTCATGCGTTATTGAAATAAAAAATGCAATTATTGTTTTTTTTTTAATCTCGAAAATCGACATTTCACGGGAGGGTGGAGGGGAGATGCATGTATGTGGAGGCTTGACATTTTTATCCAACAAGCGGAGAAGGTTGCAGAATCTATTCTAGCCACTCTTGCCCCTCCGCTTGCATGCATTGTCCAAATAAAAAAAGAAAGTGTTAACAAATCTGACCCTTGTTCCAAGTAAAAACCGAAAATCTGACCCTGTGGCCGCCGGTGAAATTTTTTTTTTCAGTTTTCACTTTTTCCACATACTTTTGAGAGTTCTGAATAGCCCGTCGCTTAAATAGTTGGAATCAACATTCACCCGGCTAAAAAATTCGATTTTGTTGAAAGTCGACTTTCTCCCGAGAAAAACAAAAAATCTGACCCTTTGAAAACTTGAAAAAAAAAAAAATCAGTTTACACTTTTTCCACATACTTTTGAGAGTTCTGAATAGCCCGTCGCTTAAATAGTTGGAATCAACGTTCACCCGGCTAAAAAATTCGATTTTGGTGAAAGTCGACTTTCCCCCTGGAAAAATCCAAGATCTGACCCCTTTGGGTCCGGGTGAAAAATTTTTTTTTTCAGTTTTCACTTTTTCCACATACTTTTGAGAGTTCTGAATAGCCCGTCGCTTAAATAGTTGGAATCAACGTTCACCCGGCTAAAAAATTCGATTTTGGCGAAAGTCGACTTTCACCCTTAACCCACGTGAAACTGAAATATTTTTTTCCCCATTTCTGTCACCTCCGAGGGTTTCATTGGCATCAGGGGGTCAATAAATACAGAATCAACGTTCACTATTTTTTATTTAAACACCGCCTGCAAACGGGGAGATGAGGGTGGCTAAAATATATTCTGCAACCCTGTCTCCTCGTTGGCTACAAATTTCAACCCTCCGCATACATGCCTTCCCCTTCACCCGGTCGTAAAATCACGCGTTCTCGGTAGCATCGAGGAGGGCTTCTCAGGACCGAAAAGAACTGAGGATTCGAATGGTCTCTGGAAAAGTACGTCGCAGAACTGATTCGGACTTACCAGGTCCATCTAGGTCTGGGGAGATCTTGAAAGACCTGTGTACGTCCAATCAGAACCAAATCCTCGACTCGGGTCCTCGACTCGGGATATTATACAGAAAAATCAACAGAATTGTATTGAGATATTTTCTATAACAATTTCTCTGCTCAAAATTTTCAATTTCTATTATTCAATTTTTTAAATGAAAGTAGAAATAATTGTGAAATTTTGCAAAAAAAAAATCCTGTGGAAAATTTCTCAATAGCAGAAGTACGATGGAAAGAAAAACGTGCGTGTGTAGTTTTTAATTTTCCTCCAAAAAAATGGTCACTTTATTCTCTACTGCTGAAGTTGCAAAAAATGTGATAATATGTTGAGAATGCAAATGAGGGTTGAAGTATAGCAGTGATCACACTCGAGTGCAGCCAATTAGCAAATCGCAATTAGTGCATGATTTTCAGCGTTCTCGATAGATAAGCCTCGATTTTTGCAAGTGTTCTCATTCCTATTACACTGTGGATGAGATTTTTCGCTCTTATTCATCAATAAATCACTGTTCATTGGTGTCTATAACTTGCCTCATTAACTAAAATAATGACTCCAATCGTATTTCACTCTTGATAGACTCTTGGGACTCAAAATGATTAAAATGATTAGTTACCTTATGCAAATTGCTTAATTTTCGCAAGTAAAACTGTTTCACTCCACCAAATTTTCTCACGTGGAACATAAAGTTTTTCGGCAAAGCTAATTCTTCCTCTCAGCGTATAATAAATAACAATCTTAACGGATGACAGAGTCTAAACCAACACTGAGAGTGATCCGTCTTTTGCTCATTCCACCCACTCGAAAATCCCATCCAGGAATTTCGTCTGATGTCAGAAAGATGTAAAACTCTGTAGAAATGTTTCCTCTTTGATGGATAAATAGAAGTCGACGGCGTCTTTGTTTGAGGGATTATCCACGATCAGACATTTCTCATCTCAGATATTCCAGTAAAACGGATATTTCTTTCATCGATTATTCTGTCGTCGAGATACTGTCTCTCATTTTATCCCCGGTATTGTGTCAATAATTCTTATTGTTGAGTTTTCACAGCAACTTTAGATATCATAATTCGGAAATTCGGTTTCCCTTGTGCTACCTTGGGGCGTTCAATTTCCCTGCGTGAATGACAACCGTAGGGTAACTCATTTCCCACTGAGGAAATGTGTGCTTTCCGCGGTAGCTGCAGTTACATGACCTATGACCATTTTCAGCGTCATGAGGGGGGAAACAGTTTTTGGGGGGATATATCACGGAAACTCTTGTGTGTGGCTGGCGGGAAACAGGTCAAACTCCCTGCGAGCATTTGCGGTTTTGATACTGGCGAACTTCGGATATATGATGCGACAAACTTTTTGGTGAATAGGGATTGGCAAAATAAGGGGGGGAGGGTCAATATATGGGCAGTTTATAATTTTTTTAATGAAATATGTGGGGGAAAAAGCGCCGAGTGAACGTTTTGATGTGTTGCTGTGGAGAAATGAAGGTCAGTGTTGAATAATTTCGGCTGAAATTTCCGATACACTTCGTGGGGATTCTATCAAGCGATAGTTTCACTGAAATTTCAAGGATTTTTCTCACTGAGAATTCATAATTTCATGAAAAAGTCAATGTAGGAGGACAAGTGAGAAAGACTACCGGTTTTTAATGAATGTCGTAGAATCTAAGGCCGACAGCAAATTTTTTATCATCACCTTTTTTGTAGCCCTTAATTAGCCCCACAAAAAATGTCATTACGAAAATTTCGCAATCTCTCTCGGATTGTGAGATATTCCGCGAAAACTCAGCTAAGTCGACTCAAATCGTTTTACCGCCTCATCACTAAAATAGACTATGTCCCCTGACCAGATAATTTCACCCAAGACAACATCATCACCACATGTTGACCTCTCACAATCATCAATCTAAATGATATCCTCCAAACAGTTTGCCTAGAGCTGCGTCAGTGAATGTCTACTCAAATCCTAAACGGTGGCCACCGCTAGCCCCTGAAATTGGCGTTATCATAGCTGTCCGATGCCAACCCCTCGTCATGTTAATAGGAGAGAAGCACTCACCATGATTCTCGATGTAATAGACGCCAAGCACGTCGAGATAACCATCGATATATAAGTGCCCCTCTATTGAAATCCGACAGGGCTCCAGATAGTTCATAAATGGACCTATTAGTGAACACCTCTTTGATTGACCTCAACACAGATTGAGATGTAAATTGAAACTTTCTTACCACTTGACTTTTCGCAGATTCAGTGCACTTTGAGGATTGTTGGAAAAATCGATCATCTCGATTCCGCATGAAAGAGTTCGCTTTATTGAAACTCTAGATTCCAATATTTCAATTTCAAATGATGACGTGCCCATGGGAAATTGGGAAAAAATTGCCGCACTTGGTGGATAATGCGCGAGGAGAAGGAAATTGCGCACAATAACGTGAATGATCCTACGCTCGTGTAGCTAAGGTGAACATATTCTGTAACCGGTGAAAAAGGGAGACAACACAATATTCAAATGGTTGGGCGGTTTATTAATTAGTTAGTTACAGAAGATGAGTCGTCGAAGAGATCTCCAAAGAGAATGAATCAATCCAAGTTATTCCAAAAGACAGTCGTTGTCAAGGGGGTTCCGTGTCGTCTTCAAGATGATGGAAAATTGAATTATGATTCGAAGGGGGACACGTAACAATATCATTAGTCCAATATTTCTATTGAAATGAGTGTAGAGATGCAGTGTTTTAAATTAGATATCAGAAAGTAAAAACTTCAGAATTAGAATTCACTTATATTAAATAATCATGATAATTACCATTTTTTAATTGATAATCGTCCATAAACGTGGAAAGTCCCATGTCCCTACGCTCGCTCATTCGTCCCCATGCACGTTTGACACATGTCCCTATCGTCTCGTGATTTGAATGATATGGAAAAGTTATATCCGAACTAATTACATCGTGAGTACCCTATTTGGGATAAAGCAACATTAAAAAATATCTCGAGCCACGAAATTATATTTCAATTGGACAGTCCAACCTTTTCAATGATTTTTTCATGCGTTTAGTCCGCTACCAGTTGACAGTTGGTTGCAAAACGAGCATAGGATCAATGCCATTTCCATTGTACCTATTCTTTTAATTGCCGCCATTTCTGTGAAATATCACGATATTACTATAATTTATGCATTTTCATTGTTTTTTTAACCATCCGCAATCTCAGCCAAGGGATTTTTAATACCATTTTACTATTATAACGGAGATATCAACATTTTTAAAGTGTGAGTTTCTTAACTTGCGGCTTAAGAATTCACTCTGTCGTAGCATCAGTTGATGTGAATGGGATTTTTCTCACCTAATCTTGAATAAATCACTGTTCATTGGTAGCCACAACTTTCCTTATCAACTAAAATAATAACTCCAATCGTATTTCACTCTTGAGAGAGTCTTGCGACTCGAAATGATTAAAATGTGATAGCTCACGACATCTGAAAAGGAACATTCATGACGAAACAACTGTCTAAAAATGTCACTCCTCTTTTAATATCCTGAAACTCCTCTCAGCCTCGCGGAAAACTGCCTAAAGTTGAGTGGAAATTACACTTTGGAGAAGGTACTTTTTCTACCACTACCCCAGTGGGCGGGGGATAGTCCACTCCATATCTCATGGAAGACTCTCTAACGAGGTCAAGCAGTATATTGGGAGGCGTCGAGTGAGGTTGGGGGTGAAACTCCTGGAACTGTGTGGAAGGCTTCAATATTGAGCCCTTTAGCGGGGTGATTTTTTTACCCTCAACGAAAAATATAATGGCGCATACTGTGCGAGTGCTTGTTAGACTTGTATCAACACTTGAGTTGAGAATACATGAGGGGTGATGGACGATAGAATCCGAGCTGTTCACATTCCTCGCACCCGAATCACTCTGAATAGGCCTCTTCAGCTTAGAATACTGGTCTTGTCTTGCTCATCGGAAGGATAGGGTGTGAAGGAGTTAGTAATCACGAGGTGAAAATTTCATTTCGAGTTTATTTCAATTTCCATTTGTTTTTTATTGATTTAATGACACGCAGTTCGTTTGAATTCAATCAATCAACGGACAGCTAATGATTTCATTGCTACATTTTTATCTCGATTATCGCAATGATCGTCTTGGCTTTCTCACGGGTATTCTATTCTCTATTATGATATCGCACAACAATGTTTTTTCGTCTTTTTCGCAGATTTGTCACATGATAATTCACTAATTCGTACTTCATGTTTGTTTAATATAACGCGCTGAAACTATTCTCTACAACTACTTGATTCCTCAGCAATTGGTTAGTACCTCAGATATCAAACACCAGTCTTGAAAATATAACCAATACTATAAAAAAATTTGCATCATTAATCACGACATACTAGTAATTGAAAGTTCCACATTATCCCCTAGTAGGCTAGTCACAAATAATCGTTATCAACGAGTAAAGTGATTGCAGTAACAATAATCTAGAGTATCATATAGTCTCTAAAAATAGGTTGTTTTGCTAAATGTACAGAGATTGTTCCTTCGCTCAATGTATCCAGAAATTCGGTTCTCCATCCTCCCCTTCACAGAAGGCGACAAAGGTGATTTCACATTTTATTTTGATCTATCGCTTTTTCCGCGTATTTATTTTGCCTCCTGCACTCTGAGCCTCTCTCACATTTCACCCGTACTTCCACAACTGTTTGCACGTTCCCACCAAATCTAGTACATCTTAACTAAGCCAATTTCCGAAGAAATCAGGCGGTACGAGCAAAGCTTCATACTTCAGTGACGACAACAACGGGTCGCCCATACCCCACCTACCTTGTTGTTCGTCATGATGATTCTCTATATCGGCACATAAGTACCTTCTTGAAGGCTTGCCTGAAGACTTTATTAAAAATTGTATAGAAAATAGGATTTATCATGGAGCTTGCATAACCCAGCCACGTGACAAGATCAAATATCTTCTTATTAATCTGTTTTTCACAGTCTGGACACACAGCTGGTATGAGATTAAGGACAAAAAATGGTGACCAAAGTACCACAAATGTGAAGAATATAACACCCAGTACTTTAGTAGCTTTCTGCTCAAGTCTTATGATCCTACCATGTCTCGAGCTATTTCTGGATATAACACTGCTTGTACGTGAATGATGGTCTCGCACACTGCTTGTGTATCTCAATAAACAGGGTGAGGATGCATCTCTCTTTGATAATATCGTTGATGTTGTTTGTGCTCTCAGTGTCGCTGCTCGACGAAGTTCACCGGGTCGCGAAGGCGTTCGCACAGTTCTTGTGCTGCCTAGAATCAAATTAAACAGCTAACTGCTCAAGTGTTTCACATAACAGAAATTATCCACTTACCAATCATCGAGCCTCTCCTCCCGGTCCTCCACGTTACGACGGAGTTGGCTGTCTCGCAATTCTTGGACTCACTCCTCGGATTCCGATGCAAGCCAACTTCCGATGTTTTGTTGATTGACTTGAAATTATCGCCTGAGATGATGACGACTTCCTTTCCACTCTGGGAGAAAGGCCTCTTTGAAGATTCCCCGAAGTACGGACATGTGCATCTTGTGGGGAGAGTGACATCTCTCCTCTCCCCAGTTTTCGAATTCTCCCGATAAATCTCAGTCCTCGCGACATTCTTGGAGAGTGTGGGCGGTGCCCTTAACAACTCGCTTGAGTCAAAACTGAAGGTTCTTTTGCGCAACTCCTTGGGCGAATCCAGCATAACTCTTTGAAGATATGCCTCGTTGTAAGTATATGCACGTCTCCGTGATCTCCAGGGTGTTGGTTGGTTAGCCTCATCCTGGAATGTTGTTAAACTAACCTTTGAGCCTGCTTCACTGCTGGCTGCACTTCCACCGCTCCTGAAATATTATTCAAATAAGTGATGAGAAAGATAAATCTTTGAAAGCAATCGCTGAATCTTTCCAGATTGATGGCTCAAGAGGAGATGAATAGAGTCTCGAATATACCTCCAAGTAATCAAGGACTTTTCGTAGTGAGTGGTGAAAACCCTATGGTAAAAAAAAAGTACATCAGACTGTTGCAGCAGTTCGGTCTTATTGGCCTTTCCCAACCAATTCTGGGAAAAAGCCTCGGCCTCCGGCATTACCCGATTAGAAATTTTATCAGGCAACCCCTGCAGTCATATAACGACAAATCTCCTTTTATGATCAAATAAGCGTATTATAGAGTCCGGTCAGAGGATTTATTCTTTTCATTGTCATCAGTGGAATTAATTGATCTTCAGTGCGATTCAACTACCCCTTTTAATTAAAAATATTCACGGCTTCTCTCGGTGGATATTTTTACTGAATAAGTGCACTCGTGCGTGAATTGAATCACTCCCGCAGAAAACACAATGGCAATGACCTATGAGGATACACAATTTTTTTTAAAGACATCGTTCGCGGGAGGAAGCTAACGTGGAATCAGAAGTGATGAATAGTGAATGCTCTACTTTAACAAATCCAATCCTCGCACTTCTCTTCTCTCGGTGTTTCATATCGCGGAATGTTCCCGCAGAACGTGCTTCGCAAATACTCATCCAACGCTCTAGAACAATCCATCTAATCCTACTCTAGCGGCTGGAGGGTGGTAGAGTAATACACGGGTAAGAAAGAACTTGGCAAATGTTCGTGGTATTCCGAGAATGGCAAATACGCGAGGTAACTTGATGGTGTTTAATGCCTTTTAATGGCACAATTCATTTCACATTTTTCCCCTTCATTCTTTTTTTTCGTCCGACGGAAATGAGTCCCAGTGGAAATCTTTATTCTATCCCTGACAATGGAAGTGGAGATGCTTCCGACTTTGCTATCCCCCCCGCTTTTCCAGTGTATTTGGCCGGGAATAATTTTCCGCAGTAGGACGAGAATGCGAGTGAAAATGATCGTCCAACTAATCTGGCTGAGTAAACCAACCAGATATTCCTACAACTTGCAGAGTAACCAAAAGTTGGATGAAAATTTAACAATGCAATCGATTTCTCACCCAACTCTGAAGCTGGAACGCAGCTGAGTAGATAGTTCATACTCCTGCTGTTGTGTGATTGATCTTGATGTGGCGATCGATGCTTGCCCAAGTCCAAATGGTGCACCACCTTCCAAACCTCTCGATAGTTTCAGCATTTCAGCGCCAAATGCACGTAATGCCGCCATTGCCGATGGTGGTGGTTCACTCTCTGGTAACCAAAGATCGTGTGTGTCTAATGTTGTTGGCTCGGTGTCGGTTGATGCTGCAGATGTGTGCTGTGGTATCTCACTACTTGCCCCATTTTCTCTGTTACCCAACAGCCGTCGCCATGTACTTTGTCGGTCGAAACCTGCAACTTGGAAATGTCACACTGTTTGCATTCTTTTCACCTTGTTATTTCTTCGTCAGTAAAGTTATTTCTCTTTCATGTTGTATGCATGAGTTGTACCAACTATTAATGAATTTTTCATTCTTCAACTAACCTTTTGGCCGTGCACCACTCAGACTCTCGTGCTGTTCCGCCAATAGGCGAACTGTTAGTGCGTATGTCAGTAACATAACACCGAGAGGGATGTAGAAGCATATGATGCTACCAATTAGCTTATAGAGTGGATCGGGTATTTGACAATCACCATCGACCAGCACGGAGGCGTCATCCTGAAGCATAAATTATTTTTTTTTCTTAACCTGGTAACACCCATACACATTTACATTGCAGTGGATCAATACCACGGGAGAATAATTTATTTTCGTCAAAGAAAACTCCTTGACACAAATACTCAAATGGAGATTTGAATGATTGAGAAAAGATTCGCGGAATTTAACTACATCTGTTTGACAGAAGTGAATGCTTTGTTTTCATGTATGCAGTTGTTATTGATGTTTACAGAACACCGGAGCAGTGCCCAAGTGTTGTCTCTCTTCTGGCTGAGAGTTACAACCCACATGTGAGATATGGCGCTGCAATGGCACTTGGAATAGCGTGTGCTGGTACAGGTCTGAAGGAAGCAATTGCTTTGTTAGATCCCATGGCCAACGATCCAGTGAATTTTGTTAGACAAGGTGCCCTCATTGCTTCTGCTATGATCCTCATACAGCAGACTGAGGCAACTTGTCCGAGAATCAAAGAGTTTCGGGCTCTCTATGCCAAAGTGGTGATCGATAAACATGAGGACGTCATGGCGAAGTTCGGAGCCATCCTCGCTCAGGGTATCATCGATGCTGGTGAGTTTGATTATGACAATCTACGTTTATGCTTTGGTGTTCTACCTCGCCGGTTTCAGTCGAGGTTTTTTGACCGTTGAAGTATTCTATTTTGAGTTGATGACTGCAAGCGCTTCGGTGGTCTTCAGCAATTAGACGATTAAAGAATAATTGATTGAGGAAGCCCTCATCAGGGGTTTTCGTTGTTCTTTTAAAAGACAAAGACACCAATAGAATGAACCTTTTCAAAAGTTCTAGGAGTAAAGCTTGATGTAAAACCAAATCATGTTTATTTTTCGAACTTAAAGTATCGTCAGGTCGTAACATTGAATCGCAGGTGTACCTCGGCGATTTGAGTCGAGATTTTTTGACCGTTGAAGTATTCTATTTTGACTTGATGACTGTAAGGGCTTCGGTGGTCTTCAGCAATTAGACGATTAGAGAATAATGAAATGAGGAAGCCCTCATCAAGGGGTTTCGTTGTTTTTTTAAAAGACAAAGACACCAATAGAATGAACCTTTTCAAAATTCCTAGCCAATAATCATGATTTTCAACATGTGTGAAAATCATGATTATTTTTCGAACTTAAAGTATCGTCAGGTCGTAACATTGAATCGCAGGTGTACCTCGGCGATTTCCGTCGAGGTTTTTTGACCATTGAGGTATTCCATTTTGAGTTGATGACTCTGTATTGGCCTCAGTGGTCTTCAACAACTAGACGATTAAAGAATAATTGAATGAGGAATTCTTGTAGATGAACCAAAGTTTCGACTTCCTGGGAAGCCCTCATCAGGGGTTTTCGTTGTTCTTTTAAAAGACAAAGACAACAATAGAATGAACCTTTTCGAAATTTGTGGGAGTAAACATGATGTAAAACCAATCCATGTCTATTTTTCAAACCAAAACTGTAGTCAATCCGTAACATTGAATCGCAGGTGTGCCTTGAGTTTGCAAGACTCAAGCAGCACGAAAATGCGAAAAATAAAGTGTCATTTAATACCTCAGCTGTATTATTGGTACTACACTGCGTAATGAGATACCCCCGCTCTCAAGCGTTACTACCGTCACGCAGGGCTGCACCGTAGTTTGCATTTTGAGTAAAGTGCGTGTGAAAGAGTGCCACTAGAAAAAAAGTTGGTAAAGAGAACCATGAAAAAACATGAACGTTGGATCGGTCACTGATAATTGATGAACCAAATGCGGAAGCGTCCCCTTGACACCAGAAAGGGGGAAAAGTTGAATTGCCGCCAAGTTTCCAAGAATCCTCTCATTCACTCCCTATTGTTTCCTTAGAAGCAAAACTTACTCATATATCATATCTTTCTCAACAGGTGGACGTAACGTCACTGTCTCCCTACAATCTCGAACTGGTCATACTAATATGTTGGCCGTTGTAGGAGCACTCGTATTTACCCAGTACTGGTACTGGTTTCCACTAGCTCACTGTCTTGCTCTAGCATTTACCCCAACCTGTTTGATAGGCCTAAATGCTCAACTCAAAATGCCAAAACTTGAGATTCGCTCTAATGCACGTCCAAGCGTTTATGCATATCCAGCACCTCTTGAGGAGAAGAAACGTGAGGAGCGTGAAAAGGTTACAACAGCTGTATTGAGTATCGCTGCTAGGGCAAGAAGACGTGAATCGGAGAGACGTGTACGTCACTCACATGAATTAATGGAAGTGGTAAGTTGATGGAATTTATTATCCAGTTTCGTCTTGAGAGAAATGTGTGAAAAATGAATCAACGGATTTACGTGCACGGTGGGTGTTACTGCAGTCATATTGGATATCATTTTTCTTCTGTGCAACAGCACTTCGTGAACTCAATTGTTTTTTTTTTCGGAGCGGTTCACTCCCTTTGAAATTATATTTGAAATGTCTTTTAGGATCCACCTACTGTAGAGACGAAAGAAAGTAGTGAAATTAAAGAGCCAGCGGTAACTTCATCCTCTGTCAAGGAGAAAGACGATAGGAAAAAAGAGAAAGATGAGAAGGAGAAGAAAGAGGATAAGGAGAACAAAGAGGTTAAAGACAAGGAGAAGAAGAGTAAGGACGAGGAAAAGGAGAAGAGAGAGCCAGAGCCGAGCTTTGAAATTCTCCAGAATCCGGCCAGAATTCTTCGTCAGCAACTCAAAGTTATTCAGCTTGTTGAGGGTAGTCAGTACGCTCCAGTGAAGGATATTCAAATTGGAGGAATTGTCATGTTGAAACATATCAAGCCCGATTCGGAGGAAGAGCTTGTGGAACCAGTCGCTGGTATGTACAATTTTTCAGTTTTACTTGTTGGTTTCTCATATCCAGGCGATACGGTGGTAATGTTCGGTTATTATTTTTGGCTCAGCCTTTGGACCCAAGCCAGATGAGGAAAAGGAAGCAGAACCACCAGAGCCATTCGAATATACCGAGGAGTAACTCATGGAGAGCTTTCGCAATTAACCAATTATGTCATTTTCCTTTCGTACGAACTTATCGCAACAAGAGGTTTCCAATCACTTCCTTTTTTCTATGTACAAGTTGAATAAACAGTGTAATTGAGAGAATCAAGGCGAATTTTATTCATTATTTCGTTATTGTGTGAAACATCGTGGAAGTCCTTTTTGAAATTGAAAAATCAATCACGCAGTTGCATGTTTTTGAAATCTAGAGGTCCCGGTTTGAGTCAGTATATTTCACAATTTGTAAACATTCAGCACGAGAAGGAATGACAGGCAAGACTACAAAGGAATGTAAAATATTCTGAACAAACGTAGAATAGGAAGATTACCTTCGAGCAATTTCATAATTTCCTGTTGGAGGCAGCAAAGAGAATCTCCAACGAAATTTAATGAATCTTTCGCACTATAGTTTTGGTCAATTGAAGAATCATTTTCTCGTGGAAGCGGTAAAACGGTTTAAGACGATTTTCACTATTGGCTAGTTTTCAGCGAATATCTCGGGATCTAAGGGAGATATGAGAACTTTCGTTAGGACCTTTTCTGTAGTCCTCAATTCGCTCTACAAGAAAAGTAATTACGAAATTTTCATTATCTCCCTTAGATTCGGAGATATTCATCGAAAACTCCGCTGAGGCCCAAAACGACTTGAATCGTTTTACCATTTCGCTACTGAATTGGTATCGATGTTCACTCTATCACTCGATCTATAACTATTTTTGGTATTATCTTGTTTTCCAGAAAATCATTCCCGGAAAATTTCTGTGTTGTTTTTATTTGGGGCTAGTTTATTGGGTTTTTTCAAGGAATAATTACTCTTAGAACCCTATTCTTTGTCAATCCGTTAGTTTGACTCACCGTTATACGAATATATTTAAGCAAAGGCAATAAATACATACCTTCGAGTACATGAGACTGAGCGGAAGACTCATGGCGATGCTGAGCAGCCAGACGAAAACAATCTTGAGGGTCACACGTTTCCGCGTTTTGTTTCGTCCAAATTTCATCGGATAACGCAGACTCAAGTATCTGTCGACACTTATCGTACATAAGTGCATTATGCTTGCTGTGCAGAAAAGTACGTCCAGACAGATCCAGGCGAGACAGTACATCGCTGGCAGCGGAAAATACCCTGCCGAAAACAATGATGAGTCATTATTTCGTAATCTCTCCGAAGAAAGCATAATGTTGTAACAATTCCTAATATCAAACGTTACTCCCAAGCTATTGTGGTAAAGCAATTAAATTTTTACTTCAGTCGACAATTGATACTGAAGCCTTAAATATAATTCCCGTGGCCAGAATAACCAAGATTTCCTTTCCCAACTAGAACACTGAATTAACCCGAGTCAATTATTCCACTCGACGGACATTAAACGGAAGCGAAGATCCATTCAACGATATGTAATTGCGAAAATAATCGATGCTAGTCACGAAGGCTTCTGTCTCCACGTACTAGGGAATTCTCAAACCCCCAATCGTGGACGGTCCCCCCGAATTTCAATTCACTATCGAATCCTGGAGCCCATCACATGGCTTCGAATATTCCCGTGTCTTCATATCGTCCTTCATCACTGTCATCGACAAGCTGTACAAATCCAACATTTTAATCGTCAAAAAAGTCTCCAGAATCCATTCTATCTCCATTTAGAACGCAATTTTTTTACATCACTAGCCCAGATGTTGGCAAATATTGAAATGCGGGTGCGAAACTGGAAATTGCAACAGCTGGGCCGACTGGCCTAGCAATTGCCGATGAGGACAATTTATCTCAGCGCTTTGCAATTCAGTCGGTCGCATTATTGATGGAAAACGATTTAATGTGTGCATTCAGCGTTACAATTCCAGTTCTGCGCCGCTGGAGCAGGTGACAAGGACGAGTGATGATAATTTTTCTTTGTTAGTTTCATCAAGAAATGCGATTCGCTGGAAGTTGAAGTTAGCTAAGTAGTTCGGGCAATTTTTTCTGGGGGAAATTCTCCGAAAATGTTATTTGACCGTTGTGATATTTACTCCGACGATATTCTGCTTGCCTCTGTTACTCACAAACTTTCCTTCATGCTCCCTTTCTTTTTATTTTGTTGGGTTACTATTTTGCTGATAGTATGACTTCCCTTTCTTTCAACCTCATTTTTCCTTTTCGCTCTTTTTCTTGTTGTTTGTCCTGCGTACACACTATTTGCAATCTCCCACTGTTGTACTATGGCTATTTACGACCTCTGCTTGTTTCTAGTTATTTGCTTTTATTTTTCTGCTGTATGACCTTGTCATTACTTTATTTTGTACAACATAATGTGCAGTGACTAAAATATCAAGCAGTCAATGTTGTTACGAAGAATTTACCAGAAATAAAATGATTATTAATTTCCGTGTAAAATTGTGGTCTTCAATAAGTCTCCAAAACGTCTCGATCGGTCTTGATACAGTCTCACATGTTTCTGGTGCCTTGGGAAGTCTAAAATCGAATATTTCCATCAGAAAAATAGAAAGAACATTCCGTGCGCGGAATGTTCAGTCTCTCGATGGAAGACTACGTTACGTGGACAATTGGGCAATCAGTACATTCCGATATTATCCTGGGTGAATTGATATCAATCTAAAAAATTATTGCTGAATGTAGAGGTGAGAAAAACAGACAGGATAACAGAGAAATTCCTCCAACATGGGATTTAAGTCGTAATATTAAATTATAAAGACACGTCTGTTTCCGTGGAATGTATAGAGTATGACAATGATTGGGGGTAGGCAGAGAAGGTGATAAAAAGTATAAGATTGAAAAATAATTCCCCTCAAAAATTGAATTTTCGGACCGCACGAAACCAAAAATATTTGATGAAGCCATTTTTTGTTTGATCATCGCCCCTAGGGGTGGAAATTAATCGGGGGTGGTTAGGGAGTATGAAAAAAAAGTCTGATGACCTCAAAAAAATCTCGTGACCAACTATTATCCACATAATGTAAAGTCTTCTATCGAGACACTTCGAACATTCCGCGCACGAAGTACCGTAAAAGTCTTGGGGCATGAGACTTTTCATTTTTTTGAGGGAAATATTCGGGTTTAGACTTCTCAAGGTACCAGAAACATGTGAGACTGCCTCAAGACTCGATCGAGACCTTTTGAAGACTTATCGGAGACATTTCTAGACATTTCTAGAATTATTTCTGACCAATTCTTGCCAAGACATTCCATCTCCCGTGACATATCCCTTACCTCGTTCTATTTCACCTCGCAAATAGCGTTATGAACGAGTAAGATAGCTTTTCCGTACAGATTGAAGACAAGATGGTGAGAGATTTCATGAACAGATAACGGCACCATCATGCTTCACCTAATTCCAGTTCCCCCCTACAATTATTCATGCAGCTATACCCACACGTTCATTAATCTTTCTCAATTCATAACTGATTCAGTCACGTAATAGTCTCCCCCACGTTGATGTCTCATGAATGTGATAATCGAATTTGGCGGATTTATTTTTTCGGAAATGAATGAAAATATTCTCTGGCAATCATCAATCATGAAGTGTAAGGAACCGTATGTTCCTATTCTCTGTTCTCAATACTCATTCCCACCCTTATAAAAAATGAAAGGACTCACCTCTCACTAGGGTCAGAATACCGAGCGGCATCACGAGAATAGCCACCATGAGATCAGTGATAGCGAGACTCATGAGGAAGTAGTTGGTAACATTTTGCAACCTTCTCTCCCACGTTATAGCTAGGCACACCAATATGTTACCAGCAGCAGTACCAACGACAAGCACAATAGCGATCATTGCCCACCAATTGTTGATTTCGTCACGATCAGGAGTCATTTCACTTGTCATATTGTCACCACCATTGACTTCTTCACTGACAACAATCTTCGTCATTGTATTCACCACCCTATCACTGACACTTGCCTTGTCATCGCTGAAGAATAATCTCACGTTGCGCAGGTGAATCATGTCGAGCGTTGGGGGAGATGTTACGGATGAGACGGTGGAGAATGTTCCGTATATCCTTCTTTCTGGTGAGTGAGGATCTATCGTTACATTGAAATGCATCATCCTAGGTATAAAAGAATTCCCAGAGATGTTCTTGGTAACTGCCATCCACTGCATTATTTATCTGGAAGACGGAGAATTATGGCATGACTATGGGGAAAAATTTCACACCAAATGGGATACAGTTTGAGTATTATGTTTTTTTGCTTCCGAATGGAAGCTTTGTAATTGTTCAAATTCATGTTTTGGAGTTTTTGATCCAAAAAGTCGGAGAATGCAATTTTTACCTCGTCCATACGTATGTAACAAAGTTTTTCTTCAACTGATCGTTAATGAATGGATGCAATTGAATTTTTTTTGCCAAATGTAGGTATTGTTGAGCCCTATCGATCGCCATTAATTAAAATTTAATTCATCGACTAGTTTATTTAATTTTTGAATTTTTTCGAAAATCAGTTCTCCGACGATAACTAAAAAAAATGTTCTGAATCGATTGAATGATGACTTAAAAAATTTGTTTAGATGTTCCTTTGACCGAGTTCGAAGATGAAGGCGATGACAATAATCGTGATTTTGATTTATTCGAGAATTTTCAAAAAATTTGTATAAGTTTAAAGATGATTACGATAGCTGTATTGGTTGATTTGATTTTTATGATGATTGGTGAAAATTTCGAATTTTTCCTGAATTTCTCTGAGAGTGAGCTTTCTGATGGTTTCTTCAAAAGTGATGTTTCAAATTCACTCAGGTATGTGTAAATACAATTTTCCTATTAACTTTTTATCGAAGGGCTGAAAGGAGAGATCATAATCAGAAGAAGGATCCAGCAAATACCCCTCTAGCCCAAATATTTCCCGATAGCTTCGTTGCAAACGAATGGGAGTGTCAAGTTCTTCCGATTAGAGTTTACCGATTAGAGTCTATTGTATTCTATCTAAACCGGGTCAGGACTGTTTGGCGCCGGCGTTTTGGCGCGGATTCAGCAATACAATGGTCGCGCTAAAAAGTCGCGTCCCCCTCTAATCAACAGGAAGTATTGATTAGAGTGGAGTCGAGTTGATTAGATGGGCATTTATCAAAATATTTTAACGATACAATAAATTGAAAAAATTGAATTGAAAAAACTAAATTGAAAAAAGTGAGAAAACGGGGAACCCCCGCTGCTCCGATCAGTGGCAGTAGGTGAGGTTAGTATGCTACTCTGAAGTTAGTCATCACAAAAGTTTGACCCCTGCAGTAGCCCAATTTCGATAGAGATGTTACCAATAACTCTCCTGTGTAATAATACTAAAGGTGATATCCAACGATGAAATCTACTTTTAAGAAAATAATAGGTTATAATCAGTGAATTAAATATTATTCTGCAGTATTTTCTTTAAACAAAAAACGGTGTCACCCTTGTCAAAATATATTGTTTATTATATAAAATACAATAAATGGTAACGATCTAGCGGAGAATCCCCGGTGAAGACCGATCGGCTCCGATCGGTGGCAGTAGGTGAGGTTAGTATACTATTCTGAAGTTAGTCATCACAAAAGTTTATCCCTGCGATACAATAATTTCGAGGAAGATGTTCCCAATAACTCATTATGCTTAATAATCCTTAGGGTTAAACCGGACGACAAAATTTACTCTTGAAAAAAAGAGTCTACGATCACTAAATGAAATTCTAATGCATTTGTCTGAATATATTATCCCTCCAATGAATTCTACCGAGAAAGCGGGGATTCCCCGGTGAAGACCGATCGGTGGCAATAGGTGGGGTTAGTATATTATTTTAACGTCAGTCATCAGAAAAATTTGACCCTTGCGGTACAATAATTCTGATACATATGTTCACAATAACTCCCTCGATGTATAATAATTCTTGAAGTCGACCCACAACAGAAACATATGAGGAATAAGGAAAAAATATCGGCAAGAGGGAATAATGAATAAGGTCTGAATATCGCCTAGTCACTGCTTCAACTCACAATGAGAAAACTCCCTTCTTCTGTTCTCAATATTCATGCAGCTTATATTTTCTTATTATGAGTCAGCCCCATTCTGCCATACTCGCTATATCAAATATACGAAACTGTTTCGCAAGGCCTATCCGCTCAATGTGCTTGCGAATCCTAATAATTTTTGCCCCATTTTCTCTTCGTAGAGCTTTATAAATTTTTCTTTTAAAGTGAAAAATGAATGCCGTAAGAGGGACGGCGGAGTTTCATGTATACAAGAACTTTGAATTGACGCAGGAGTCAAATAGCTGAGATAGAAAAAAACAGCGAACGAGGCGGAGAAACTCCGCACTGACAGAAAAAATTAATTTTATCAAAAGAATTTTGTTGGAACCAACTTTCCTTTGATGTTTAATTTTCAAATAAACATGATTTCATAATGAATACCATTTATCTCTTCTTGAGATACATTTGATTGGGAGCAATCGAACTTCTCTAGAATTGAAGTTCCTTTCATTTGTCGCAATAATGAGAGTATTTGATTTCTTTCTAGCCAAAAGTTTGCCAACTCCAGAAGTTCGTTGGTTTACTCAAAAATCAAAATTATTCTCATGAATAAATACGTTGTTATCTCAATCAACACGATCATACGTTGTTCCAAGTAAATTATAATTGAAGTCAGCATTTCGTATGTCGAATCAGGATGAATATTGTTACGCGGAAAAAGCTTTGAGATTGTAGTAAGATGTCGTTGAGTTGAAAGAAGTTTATATTTCTTGACTAAAAAAAATAGCATTAGTTTACAATAGCAGAATCACAGATTACGGCAATTCAACACAAACTTGGATATCACAAATTTCGTTCAATGTGATGTACGGAAAGCTCAATTAAAACATCGGCTTCATTCGAGAAAACAACATTCAATTCATTCCTCAATGTAATCGTCTCCTAGGTACGAATTTTTGATCAATTCATCAAAGCAGAAAATTTCTCAACTGGAGATTATATTGGGTTTAAAAAAATAGACCTTTTCCATTTTTGTGGTGAATACATGTGACTTGACGCCAAGGACTGTTTTATTGGATTCAAGTGAATGTATCTCAAGAAAAAATAATTAATATTCACCGTAAGATCTTAATTATTTGAAATTACTTCAAGTATAATACCCTTCCGATATCACATTCCGATTAGATCCCCTGCGAGCCAAGCCATCCCGCTAGTCAGGCTGCAGTTCAACTTGGCGATCCGAGAATTTTAGTGTCGTACTAGGAAATCTCTTAAATCGCAAACGTGACACATAAAAACGCTGAGCTCTGGATTCCCATTTCATGAAGGTTTCCCAAATTTTTGTTTCGGTCTCTATCAAGGACGTGCATCATATACCGCGAATTATTGTCGTCCTTGTATCGATGTCCTCTCTTGGGTTCGAATAATTTCAACATGTTTTGATTTAACGAGGAAGTTGGGCCATTGAAACCTCATCTGCCCGCTGCAATCACGTATGATCTACTTCATTTCGAAGTCATGGTGACATTCAATCATTGAGTGACCCCTCGGATTATCCGAATCTCTATAATTCATTCCCAATAATCGAATTCATTTTATGATTCTCATTCTGTTTGTATTTGAGTATTTGAAATGAAATAAACTCCCTATATTGGAGATGACTGGAGACATCACGTTATGACCATAAAAATCCAAATTTATGCAATATTTTAAGTACGTGAAGCCCCATCATTCTCGATTAAGGGCGTATATCATGTCCGGGGGATTATCGTTGTCCTCGTATCGATTTCCTCTCGTGTCTTCGAATAATTTCACGACATTTTGATTTAACGAGGACCCTGGACCATTGAAATCTCACCTTCCGCTGCAACCGCGTATAATCTACTTCATTCCCAAGTCACGGTGACACCCAATCATTGAGTACCCCCTCTCATTATGCGAATCACATCCTCAACATTGCAGCAATCTCGACGGCGGTTGAAAAATGGATCCTGCATGGGATTTTCGCGCAACAGAAAAACATCAAGAGCACCTGGAGAACCGACACTATCTCAGTCACCAGCAAAAACCCCCGAGTCAAGGAAGTCCTTTGGTGTATCTGCTGGTACATGAAGGGTTTTTGTCATTATGAACTCCTGGAACCGGGTCAGCCGGTTACTGGGGATCGATACAGCAGCCAATTGAATCGTTTGAGCAACGAAATAGAACAGAAAAATCCATTTACAGGATACGAAAGGTGGCAAGTCATACTCCTATCGTGATAACGCGAGAGCGTATGTTGCTCGCGTGATTTCAGGGAACCATTTTTAACGTGGGATTTTTTTTCCCCCTCATTTTACGTGTTTACCATACCTGACACCCGGTGCATATCGCAAACTCGGTTCAATGGCGATGGGCCACTGCAGCGAGCCGATTCCCGAGGAGTGGAGAATGTCAAAAAAATCATCGATAATTCTATTGTCTCGGGAACAGTCGGGTGAGGGCATCCGAAACTATGACAAAGGGCTCTTGAAAACAACGGAGAGCGTATTACCCGGTTTCAGGGGTGGACGATATTCCATTGAGGACAAACATAATTATTGTTCGAAATAATCATTTCCAATAATTGAATTTATTGTACCTCTCTTATTTTCTTTATTTTTTATGAGTCGCAACGGAATTGGTTTATTGTTTTCAATGTTTCTGGAAATTATTCAGGAAAACAAACTTTGTTAATTTATTTTAGTTTACTCAAACAGTAAGAATACTTTTGTGATTTGAATATTTGATGGAATGGGAAAGAAACGAAGATTTCTGAGGCTTCCGAAAGTTTAAACGATTTAAATTATTTGTTTATAAACAACAAATGTAAAAAAAATGATAATTCTGTGCAAAGTGTAATTTTAATCGCGCTCAATCTTCATGATTTTCTTCAAATTCTTCTGACGCAATTTAATTGATAAATATGAGGATTGAATAGTTGAATCTATAATGCGATCCATACCAACACTCAAAGATACCTGAATACTCCCAAGACCAGAAAATCTCTATTAGATCCTTTCAAAAGTCCCAATTCAAGATCTACGAAATCTCAAAATAAGAATTTCATTCCGGTTAATATTTGATGAAACTGAACAAGTAATTGAAAAAGTATTTCCCCCCAGTTTTACTCGGATTTAGCGGCGAGC